GCTGTCATTGTATTTCGATGTGCTCACAAGGCATTTTACCTCTTAACATAGGCTCGGAGTGAGCGTAATAGAACCAGTGGTATTGATCTCTCATATTGATTATAGGTGTGATGATTTTATAGTCTCGAATGCAAATCTATAACATATTTAAAATTAGTAAATAAATGCCACTTTTACAAGCCGTCGATATACTCCCAATGTTGTCATTTACTCCGTATTTCTGTCATAACTTATGAACGAATAATAACCTTTTGGTAAATTTACTCCTAGTGTGATGTGTAGTTTCAAAGGAAATTCGATGTGTTCTATTGCAGTTTTGCAGAATTAAAATCGATTTAATTCACGTTTCCTAATTTATTTTGAATGTTTGGTCGTCTCCTGTGTATCGCATCACATTCATCGACTCTTCTAATACCACTCTTACCAACCCTAAACATTGGCCTTCAGAAATCTTCCATGTCCGACAATTGGGATGTGCGATAGACTTACCTCCACGTGGTGCAACGTATATTCATACGGCAAAAAGTCTATTAACTGGCAGTTGACTTCTGACTTCAAACTACTATCACCCCGCTGTATGCCATATTCGACCTCTTCCACAGTACTCATCTTACCTTTTCTCTGGCTTTTTGTCTGTCTCTTTTACATCTTTGAAACACTCTTCTATCCCCCCCCCTTCATCTCGACTTTTTTTCACTTTGATGTTCCTCCTCCTCTCTGTGAAGCCCGATGTCAGCTAAATGGCTAATGATAGCTATCAAAACGCCTGTCATGTGAAATAAATAAATTAATAAATGTTCGACAATTAACCAGAGGTAGTGGACAACACACATTACCAGGCCTACATTATTGGTAATCCAACTGGTTTAGTTTGCCGGAAATTCGAATTCATGGTCAACCCTGGGGTAGATTGATTATTGAGTATCAATCTGTCATGCCAGGGATTCTAGAACAGTCTGCGGTTTTCCTTACTGGAACCATAGTTTTATCTCAGTGTCTCCAAAGTGCATGTATTTTAAATTTGAATTAACAAAAGCAAAATATGCAGCACTTTTAGCCTAACAAGCTACGGAGTAATTTATAGAAAAATGAAGAATCTTGCAAACAAATTCACAATTTGTCATTATTTACTTTTTGAAAAGAAACTCCAAGAATTTTTTTGGCTATGTGTAGTAAACAATTTTGGAGAATGGAATTTAAAGATAAATATTTTTTCATCAGCCATAAATGTTTCAGTACCGAAATATGCATACTTTGAGGCGCCAATTGTGCCAGGGAAGTGAATATTTCCAAATTTCCCGAATTTTAAATGCTGAGTAACGTTAGCACGCTTTTGGTTAATTTGTTCAAATTGAGTCAACGAATCAAAATCATATCACTGTTTTTTATTTTATTTTAAGTCTGAATAAAATTTAAGGATAGTTTATTTCATTCACTTCGTGATATGCCAGATTTTCTGTTGGCGTACCATTCCTTGGTGCGTGCTGTTATGCATGAGTATTCAACTGCTTTAACGCAAGTAGACAGGGTTCGTGATACATTTTCGCATTTTACCAAAAATCTCACAAAGTATACTTTTGACGAATTTCGGTACAATTGCAAGGCCTTAAAGAAGAGCATTTATGGTGTACAACAAATAGCTTGCATTGCCGAGGAGTTACTTAGTGAAATGCGCCGTAGTACTCAAATAGAAAATGCAGACGACGAACGCTTAATGGGCCTTCTCTCTACAAGTATCCATATCTTGAAAGGTTATATTCTTCTTGCGTAGAAAATGGCTCGAAGAGATTGGGCGAATTCAGAACTATCCTTATCTCAATCGCGTGGATGAAAATGTTAGCGGGTGAATCCACAGAATAATGCCAACATGTGTGTGTGCGCGCCAACTTAGATGTCATTAAATAAAAATTAACATTCGAATGTCCTACTTTCCCCTTCTTTCATTTTTCATACAGGGGGTGTGCGATAGACTTACCTCCACGTGGTGCACCCTGGGCAACATATGCCCATGCGGCAAAAAAGTCTATTGACTGGCAGTTGACTTCTCACTTCAAACTACCATCACCTCACTCCAGGCCATATTCGACTATTTTGCAGTACACACCTCACCTTTGTTCTACCTTTGTGTTTGTCTCTTACATCTTTGAAACACTCTTCTGTCCTCCCCTCTCGACTTTTTTCAATTTGATGCTCCTTCCCCTCTGTGAAGCCTGAAGTCAACTAAAGAGCTAATGATAAAGGTCAAACGCCTGTCACTTGAAAAAAATCTTTTTACAATTAATTGAACCTCAATATTTATGTTTTGAGGATTAGGTTCTTCTCAATTCTTTTGCTCAAGGACACATTTAGAATAAAGCAAAAACTATTGAAAGTTCACTTTACTGCATTATAAAAATAATACCCTTCAACAGATACTATGTTTTGGGTAAAGAACCACCTATGTCTTTTTAATAAACCTATTTAACTGTTAATACCATTCGAGTTTCCACAAAAACAATTATCTTAAATAGCTCTCAATTCCTGCCACAGAGGCTCTTTGATTTGTGTGCTAAATTTACTTAGGAAATTGGATTTCTTATAATCTAAAAGGGTCTACATCTAAGACAGGTAAACAGACGAAGGTGATGTATGACACCCACATTGAATGAACTGAATATAAAAGTTACAGAGCTATGTTTTTAGCTAAATTTGAAGTAGAAATTTTCAATTCCCATTAATCGAATAATCTCGAAAAACCGGTGAAAATAGTATTAATTTTGAAAACAGATAAGCAATGAATTAGAAACTTCTAAATACGTGAGACTAGAAGCAATAAGAATAGCTCAATATTTTCCTAAATTTTGAATGGATTTTGGCCTAATCACAAGCTATAACCAGAAGAAAACTAGTTACTTTGACGTTGCCTTCTGAGTATAAATTTCAGTTCAGAATCAGAAAAAAAATTTACTCAAATATTGTGGAAATGAATCAATTTGTTGAATTTCATTTGGATGCCGGAAGAATGCGATAGATGCATGGTCAAGAAATTCATTAGTTTGTCAAGCGAGGGACACA